ATCCTTCTTACCCAGTTAGATCTCTGCTCCTACTTCCCTCATTAATTGGACCAGTCATGCCTCATATTGCCTCAGACTGTCAAATCCTGAACTATATTCATAAGCAGGAATCTGGAAGACCTTAAGAAGTAAATCTAGGGGGCGCCTGGGTGGCTCAGTCGTTAAGCGTCTGCCTTCGGCTCAGGTCATGATCCCAGGGTCCTGGGATCGAGCCCCGCGTCCAGTTCCCTGCTCGGCGGGAAACCTGCTTCTCCCTCTCCCACTCCCCCTGCTTGTGTTCCTCTCTCGCTGTATCTCTCTTTGTCAAATAAATAAAATCTTTAAAAAAAAAAAAAAAAAGAAGCAAATCTAGGAAGGCAAAGTGGATGGATGGCTCTTCTCCCCTTCCACCATCTAATCAACATTCATACAAACTTCGAAACTCAGTATCAACATTGGCCCCTTAGGCCCAGGTAGAATTCTTCAGTCTCTCTACCATGTAACTATGCCCATAAAATTGCTGTGTATTACTTTATCCTGGTGTATTGTAGCTATTTAATTCAATGTCCATCTCTCCAAACATGGTGAATTCCTGGAGAGCCAGCACTGGATCTCATTAATTTTCCTGTCCTTTAGACTGGAACAGTCCTAGAAGCACTTACTTAATTAAGCGCTATTAAGCAGTACTTAATAGTCATTAAATCAGCAAATAATTGAAGTAGACAAATGAGAATAAGAGGGAAGAGGGATAAATTGGTAAGTCCATTACAGAGGACAATTTGCTAATATTTATCTACCAACATTAAAATGTATAAATTCTTGGAACCAGCAGTTACATCTATTAAGCATTTATCCCACAGATATATACACACATGTGCCAAATATTTATTTACAGTGTTACTTGCTACAGCATTATTTGTTAGCAGAAGCTTAGAAATGATGGAAATGTCCATTAATAGTGGATTGATGAAATAGATTATGGCATATCCATAGGATGGAAGGCCAAGCAGCTACAAAAAACATAGTGTGGAAAGATCTTCAGGATATGATGTTAAAGTACAAAATTAAAAAAAAAGATTCAGAATAGTATAATACGCAAACATTTCTGTAAAAAATGAAGGAAATATCTGTATCTTACATTTGCTCATATATGTATAAATATCTATGGAAGGACCCAGAAGAAACTAAATAACTGCCCTTTTTTGGAGATCAAAATTTGGGGGGGAGTGGAAGACTTTTCATCATGTTCCTTTCTATACTTCTAATTTCTGAAAAATGTAAATATATGGCTGGTTCAAAATATATTGTGTAAATATTTTTTAAAAAAGAAAACTGCCTGTGGATGGTTGTAGCAAGTTTGTTCATAACTGCCAAAAATTGGAAACAAATAAGATGTTTTTCATTAGGCGAATGAAAATAAACTGTGGTATAGACAGTGGGATAGCTAAAAAGCAATGAGCTATCAAGCAATGAAGAGACATGGAAGAACCTTAAATGCATATTACTAAGTGAAAGAAGCCAATCTGAAGGCTACATACTGTATGATTCCAACAAGATGACATTTTGGAAAGGCGGAACTATGTAGACAGTCATAAGGTCAGTCATTTCTAGGAGTTGTGGGGAGGGAAGGATGATTAGACAGAGCACAGAGGATTTTTAGGGCAGTGAAACTATTCTGTATGATACTATAATGGTAGATACATGTCATTATAGATTCATCCAAATCCACAGAATATACAGTACCAACAGCGATGTCCTAATGTAAATTATGGACTTTGAGTGACAATGATGTGTCAGTGTAGATTCATTCATTTAACAAATATATGTGTCTGGTGGGGGTTGTTTATAATAGAGGAGGCTATACGTGTTGGGGGAGGGGGTGTATGGGATTTCACTGTACATGACTCTCAATTTTGCTATGAACCTAAAATTGCTCTAAAAATATTCTTAAACAGGGGCACCTGGGTGGCTCAGTCCATTAAACTTTCGTCTCAGGTCATGATCCCAGGGTACTGGGATCGAGTCCCACATCGGCCTCCTTGCTCAGCGCTGAGCCTGCTTCTCCCTCTCCCTCTGCTGCTCCCCCTGCTTGTGCTCTCTCTCTCTCTCTCTCTGTGTCAAATAAATAAATAAAATCTTTAAAAAATAAATAAAAATAGTCTTAAACAAATAAATAAATATTCTTTAAATAAAGAAAAAAGAAAACTGATGAGTTAGATTTACACTATCATTAAAGGACCCTGGATTCTGAAGCCACTCAAGGCCATTCTCTGGTCTAACATTGCAATCCAACACATGTGGGCTATGATGATATAAGTGCATATATATATACATTTCCTGCTAAAAGCCATTGTACTTTTCTGTCACTTATTAGTCAGGGCTCAGGCCTGCTATACATTTAGCTCATCCTGTGGTGTAGCCACAGTCTCTTGGATCAAGGAGTGCCCATGCTCCTTTCTGGCATTTTGGAGAGACAGTGGAGCTTCATATCCAAGAATGTGGGCTCTGCAGTCAGTCTGCCTCAACTGGAATTCTGGACACATCTAATTCCTAGCTGTGTTTATCTTAGGCTTTTCTTTTCTTATCTCTATCACGGATATAACAGCAGTTCCCTATTGTGTAGGGTTTTTGTGAAGATCAAATGAAATAATACATGTAAAGCACTTAGCAGTGATTGGCACATATTTAAACGGTTGGTGTTGCTATTGTTATTGTTATTTTCATCATCATCATTATAATCACCATCAACTATGCCGAATCTCTGCTGTTTTCTTTGGGCGGGGGAATTGCCTGTTTGTAGCATGAAGAGTAAGAAAGGACTCAGAGCTGGGTCTTCCTCGTTCTTCCTGATGTTTTCTATAGACCAAAGGTTTGGAGTCCTGGTTAAAAAAAAAAAACAACCTGACATCTTCATGGTGACCTTTACGCAGTTGGTAATGAGGTAGATCTCATCAGTCTCACTGCACCAAGACGTGGGCATCAGGGTTAAGTGATTTGCCCATAGTGAAGAGGGAGTCTGCACAGACAAGGGTCCTCGGGCTCCCATGCACCCTCTGCTGAGCTCTCCACTGGTCCGCATTCTGGTGGCACCAGGAGGGTATATTAAGCAATGCACCAGTTCTTGCAGTGCTGACAGTAAGTCATTAATTCTGACATCTGTCTACTCCCAGCCAAGGAGAAATTGGCTCTGTAATTATCATCCTAATGATATATCTTTGTTTTAACATGCACATAACATTTTTTTCCATCTGGGAGGAAAAAGGGGAACCCTCTATCTTTCCACCCCAGAGTCCCTGTGTAATAGATTAGAGAACTTCAAGATGCTGATTAGAGAACTTCAAGATGCTGATTTGTCCCGTTTGCATTTTTTTGCATTTTCCACATCACTTTGGAATCTGTCTGGGGTGAGGAGGTAACTTAGTCTGTTCAGGCAGCTATAACAAAATACCACAGACTGGGCAGCTTATAAACAACAGAAATTTAATTTTCACTATTCTGGAGGCTGGGGGGTCTGAGATGAAGGTGCCAGCATGGTTGGGGTCGGGGGGCTTCTCTTCCTGGTTCATAGCCTGTGCCTTCCCACAGTGTCCTCACCTGAAGGAAGAAGCTAGAAAATTCTGAGAGGTCTCTTATAAAACACAATCCCATTCATGAGGGCTCCACCCCCTCGCACCTCTCAAAGGCCCCAGCATTACCCTTTTTGGGGGTTAGGATTTCCACATATGAATTTCAGGGGGACACAAACATTCAGACTATAGCAGAAGGTGACCATCATTTAATAACAATTATTAAATTAATGTATGAAAAGTACTTACAACAATGCCTGACACATTAACAGAGCTATGTATTTGCTATTCTCATTATTACGTAGTAATAAGAGCTCATTTGGCTGATGGTTTCATTCTATAATACATAGAAAAAGCACCGCTTTAAAAAAAAAAAAAAAGAAGGGAAAAACAAACAAACAAAATACTCTTCTATTTTAGGAGATATATTCGGCAAAAAATTCCCCCTCTGAAACCCGTGGCAGATATTGTTAATTAAAACTATGGCACTCTTCTCTGTAAGTCCAAAGTTGCTTTACAGACCTCATCATATCCCTCCAGGCAGCCACCACCAAGCAATTGGCATTGGGCATCTGCAACAAAACATCCCAGCCTAGGAGCTCATGTTCTAAAGAGACCTCAAGAACTGAGACACTCACAGCGAAATAGGCGGGTGGAACCAAGTATTCCAAGCATGCTCAAGGCCTGAGTGAAACCAAGACCAAACCTATCTGGCCACCTCCACACCCAAACACATTCCTGACTGACCTCTTCAAACTTTGAGATTCTTAATTCTCAGCAGTCTTTTCACTGAATATCTTCTCAGCCAGGAGGAAGTGTGAATTTTGCCCAAGTGTTTAGAATTAGCCCCTTCTTGAGTCAAACATTTGGTTCTAAATGAAAAGACACTGGTGTGGCTTAGTGGTATGGATTCCTGCTGTATAAGAGGAACCATCAATTACACGCAGAAATAATTGCTTGGAAGCTCAAAAGCCTAAGATGTATCTTGAGCAGTATATTTTACTTCATTAAAATTTAAAAACTTATTTTTCTGGTTCTATATTTTATGAGGACAAAAACATACATTTAAACATTCTATGATGTAAGTTACTACCTGTCCCTACAAGCTGGCTCTGAAACTGTTTTAGCCCTTCATTTGGCTAAATGAATGCTGAATCATGCTGAATATAACTTCTAATTTATTTTACTGATTGTAACTTCTTCATAATGCTGAATATAACTCCTAATTTTTTTTAATTGAGCCAAACATGTTTTTTCAACTTTCTCATCTGTAGTATTAATATCCAACCTCAATCAAACCAGCATTTACAGGCATCACAGAAATTTAGAACATATTTCTAAAATATTTCGCATTTATAAAATTCTGTAGAAGGACCGAATAGACATGTATATGTATGTTACTTTTATTTCTTTTAATTTAAATTTTTTTAAAGATTTTATTTATTTATTTGACAGAGAGAGAGCACAAGCAGAGGGAGCAGCAGAGAGAGAGGGAGAAGCGGGCTCCTTATTGAGCAGAGAGTCCGATGCGGGGCTAGATCCCAGGACTCCGGGATCATGACCTGAGCTGAAGGCAGACGCTTAACGACTGAGCCACCCAGGCGCCCCAAAGGTATGTTACTTTTAAAGAACATTTTCCATTTTAGATTTTCAAATTCTTCAGCCCAGAAAAAGGGCCCATTGAGGAAGTGATGTCCCAGAGCATAATGACTGCATACCACAATTGCCTGTGCCTTCCAGTCTGAACATTTTTCTACTTGTTGTTATGGTCATTTCTGTGACTACAGCTCAGCTGGACTATAGTTTTCAGGAGCTGTCTTTTTTTTTTTTTTTTTAAGATTTTTTATTTATTTATTTGAGAGAGAGAGAATGAGAGAGAGAGAACACATGAGAGGGGATAGGGTCAGAGGACGAAGCAGACTCCCTGCCGAGCAGGGAGCCCAATGCGGGACTCGATCCCGGGACTCCAGGATCATGACCTGAGCCGAAGGCAGTCGCTTAACCAACTGAGCCACCCAGGCGCCCAGGAGCTGTCTTGAAACTAGGAGGATCTGGTTAATTGTTGGTATGCTGGACGAGTAAAGATGACCCAGGAAGTTCTAATGACTCAGCTTTGCTCAGCAATGTTTCGGGTTTGCTGAGCTTCTTGCAAAGCCTCCCTGGCTACTATGGAAGGTACAATGCAGACACTGTAATGGGAGCCACCGCCAAGCATGGCTTTTCTGTGTTGTTGCTTCCTCCCCAGAGAAGGTGTTGACACTGGAGTCTACTTCCGCCCTCAGATGTAAAAGCCGTTCCAAGCATCTCTTTCATGTTGTTATCTACGTTGAAGTAATAAAAGGATCAGAATTCTTATATTTAAAAAAAATTTTTTAAAGACTTTAGCTCTATTTTTTTTTTTTTTAAAGATTTTATTTATTTATTTGAGAGAGAGAGAATGAGAGACAGAGAGCATGAGAGGGAGGAGGGTCAGGGGGAGAAGCAGACTCCCTGCCGAGCAGGGAGCCCGATGCGGGACTTGATCCCGGGACTCCGGGATCATGACCTGAGCCGAAGGCAGTCGCTTAACCAACTGAGCCACCCAGGTGCCCTGGAATTCTTATATTTAATAATGCATGTTTCCTCTGATGGTTTTATAAAATATCCCTTGTGCAGAATTTGTGTCCTTTCTTATTTTCTGATCTCCGAGTTTCAAAGGACTTTTCTGTCCTCAAGGACATGGTTCCCATATGTAGTGAACCTCCTATGTTGTGCTTTGGTGCCTCAGCCTTGCAGCCACTATGGGTAGAGAGAGAAAAACTCTTGCTACCTTAAGTTTTTGTTCTGTTTTTTACGAGACTCCAAAACGGTTTGGGTACTATGCCTCCTTGTCAGTGATATAGTTGTGTGTGTTGTTGATATCAATTAAAAGGGCGATAACAGGAGCACATTCTTTTTGGCTTAACGAGGCCATAACTTAGAACAAGAATTCACCAAACAGAGACAGTAGGTCCATGAGTGAGCCTGTTTTAATTGAATTGGTATTTATACAAGGTGACACCCTCTTTCACACCACCCACCTCCTCCCTGGGTGACTCAGCCACTGAGGGAGAAGCCTCCGAACTGTTCATTAACACAGTCAAGTAGAGGGGGAAAGGACATCATTTAACTCCGGGGACACATTAGTTTCAGCAGGATCCACCTGGGGAATTGATGCAGGAAGTTTAGGCAAAAAAGTCCTGGTTTTTGGCTCAAGAGAGGTAAGCTGAATGATATTTGCAAACGTAAATATATCTGCTTTACTTGTATAACTTTCCCTGTGTTCTTTGCAAATGATTACAATGAGAACTTACTGTATTAACTTTGTCTTTTCTCCAGTTAAATTTCCACAGCTTCCAAGGGGCTGTTCTGCTTGTCAATAGCTCTGCTGCTCCTTGTGATTTGACATGGCATTGCCTTTTAACTTCTCTGCAACTTAACACAATTAAGGACAGCAGAGAAATGAGAGCCTCTTTGAGTTTCTGTGTGGGAGCTGTCAGCTGGTGAATCCGATCTCCCGTAAGGATAGTAAATTCTTCAGGGCAATTCTATTTCACAAGTGACTATAAAAACATTTTTTAAAAGGACCTCCCTGTTTTCACGGATGATGCTATTATGGTATACTTCATTATTTTATAGATCTGTTTTTCTTGAGTGCTAAAAACGTTGCAAGCACTGAGCTGTTAAGGGGGAGATGCCAAGCCCATACCCCTCTACCCCATCTTCCCCAAATAAAAAAGATCATATTTCTTGCACTAGTGTATAGCATTTGTGGATTATAAGTTTACTTTTCATGAATGGTGAGCAAATTTAAAACTGGCTTTTGCTTTCACAGTTTATAAAGCAGATAAGGTCTTTCTGATATTTGTCGCACTCCAGTGTTTATTGGAACAATCAGTTTGAGAAAACTGAGATATGTTATCAGTAAAAATTTGAGCAGAACATTTGGTTGATTTTAAATGTCAGGTTAGACAGAACGCAGATAAACAGGCCAGGGTTTTTATTAAAATTTTGGCTTCATGTAAGTCTTTGATCTGATTGACATAAATTTCTGATTGGAATGGAGCATAGCCTTATCTGGTCTAACCTGTAAGTTTTTTAGATGAGGACAACAAAACATATCAGTGTCGAACAACTTGCCAAGACATGGTTAACAGTACCAGAACGAGAAGCCTGACTTTCATCTTACTGAATTTTTCAAATTTCTTTCACATAAAATATGTAGGAGCAATAAATGAACTTCCTCCCTCTGGCTTTATAAAAGAGCTAAAATGATATGGAGATAAGAATTTCCTTATTCAGGAATACTTGTGTGTGTGGTATGACTATGACATATGAGATGCATTTTTATTTGTGGTTCATGGGGTCAGTCCTGTTATTCATTGTATTCCCAGGGTTTTAATCCAAGGAGTGGTCAGCCCCTCTGCAGGAAGGCAATGTGGTATGTGTTTGGAGGTTGTCGTGCTCCTCATCAGTGACATCCTCACCTCAGCTACCATTCTGTAGTTGCAATGTCTTCCCTAACCGCTGGAATTTTGACTGAAATACCTAAAAAAGTCATTTTTCTATAAACAAACAAAGAGAATATGTGGGTTTTGTTTTTTTTTTTAAGATTTTATTTATTTATTTGACAGAGAGAAACACAGCGAGAGAGGGAACACAAGCAGGGGAAGTGGGAGAGGGAGAAGCAGGCTTCCCGTGGAGCAGAGAGCCGGATGCAGGGCTCGATCCCAGGACCCTGGGATCATGACCTGAGCCGAAGGCAGACGCTTAACGACTGAGCCACCCAGGCGCCCCCGAGAATATGTTTTGAATGACCAAACTCAGACTGTGGAATGAACTGCACCTAATTCACTAAGCAGTCAACTTAAGTAAACATGATTTAATTGAGAGTATCCCTGTGATTCAGGCATTAACTTGAAGCATTCTTTATGAAGAAAGTAATAAAATCCTTGGCCAGCAGTCCAAGGGAAATCTTTGTTGTCCCACATAGCTTGTCTGCTGATGTTATCTGCTTGCAGGCCATTGGTTGATCAGATTTCCTTTTCTCTTGCTGAGAATTTTAGAATAAGGGTTTTATGTATTAATTTCTGTGTACTGTCATTAGTGTCTCAGGGTTTACTTTTTAATCACGAGTCTTCATCAAATATGTTTATGTGTTTCTAGTTTACCATTGTAAAAATCCGTGTGATTTTAGAATTTGAGAGAGGCGCTTCTTCAAATGGACGCTTTCTCAAATGACAGCTATATTTATTAGGTTGCAATTTATGTCAGTTGCTAAACTTATTAAAGATACAAGTTATCCTTTTATTGTGGTTATTAATTGGAAGAGTGCCTTTTATGGCTCTCCATTAAATGACAACTAGCTTACTTCTAGACATGAGAATCAGTAGTGCTGAATCCTCATCGTAATTGTATACTTGAGAACTTAAGCATCTAAATAATTTATCCTGCATTTCTAGATCTAAGTTTCCCTGGCCTAAAATGTGATTAAGTCTCCTTTTATGGAACCTCCTGGGGGGAAGTAGTGAACTGTAGACCATATTTTTCAAACTGGAACACACACATCCTGGGAGACTGGTGGTATTCGAAAAAATGCACAGATGCCACATGGTACATCTATAGTGAGAGCTAATTTTAGTTAAAAGGTTTTTCAGAAAAATGCCCTCCTATAGCTCTGCCCTTTTCCCCATTCCTTCCCATGTTCTCGCTTTTGTCATTAGGTAAAAGTTTGAAAGGAATTCGTATAGAAAAAACTGTGGGAAGCTGGAATCCAGATAGACTTGGATTGAATCGTGATCCTACTTTGAACCAAGGGTAACTTGTATGATCATGCATATCTCACAGCACCAGTAGATAAAGAGAAAATTTAGGATTCTTTTTTTAAATTTTTTAAAATATTTTTTTAAAGATTTTATTTATTTGAGAGAGAGAGAGAGAGAGAGAGAGAAAGCACCAAGCAGGGGGAGTGGCAGGCAGAGGGAGAAGCAGACTCCCTGCTCAGCAGGGAGTTTGATGTGGGACTCCATCCCAGGACCCTGAGATCATGACCTGAGCCGAAGGCAGACGCTTAACTGACTGAGCCACCCGGTGCCCTGAAAATTTAGAATTTTTTTTTTTAAGATTTCCTTTATTTATTTGACAAAGAGAGAGATAGCGAGAGCAGGAACACAAGCAGGAGGAGTGGGAGAGGGAGAAGCAGGCTTCCTGCAGAGCAGGGAGCCTGATGCGGGGCTTGATCCCAGGACCCTGGGATCATGACCTGAGCCGAAGGCAGACGCTTAATGACTGAGCCACCCAGGTGCCCCTGAAAATTTAGAATTCTTAATGACATATATACTGTATTACTATTTCTTTCACAAATGTGGGACCCAAATTAAAAAAAAAAATCACAAAAATTTACTGTAAGACATGAAGAATTTCTTGAGTAAAAGCTTCTTTGAGTACTGTCCCTAGATGGACAGACTGAATATCGTGAATGTCAGCTCTTCCGAAATAATTTTATAGGATTCATGCAATTCTGATAAAAAGTTCCAATAAAATATTTATTTTGGAACTAGAGGAAATAATTTTAAAGTTTATCTGAAAGAAATA